ATAAAATTGATTTATCGTGAAGTAAGATAAAATTAAATTAATTTAAGTTAGGTTAAGTTAAATCAAATTAAATAAAATCATATATTAAATATAAATTAAATAATAATAAATTAAATATAAATAGATCATTGTGTCAGTTTGTAAAGATCCCCCGCGTACCAAGATTTCAGATAATCTCGTGGAAAGGATAAATTTTTTTCCCAAATTGTTGACGCATTTGGCAATCATTTACGATTGCACATGTGTAAGGAAGGAAAATCTACCCCCTTATTCCACTCAATATGATCTGGTCAAATCGAGACAATGATCTATCTATATTTAATATATTTATAAATAAACCCCAACTCTTCCCCAGGAGGTGAGATACACATGATGTTTTCTCACATTAAAAATAAAGAAAGGATCAAATTAAAGAAGAGTAAGTTAGATTTATGTAAGATGAGGAGCTTTGTCTACTATTATATTACTTCTACATACAAAATATAGGCTTTAGTACTGAAGTTAATTACCATAAATAATAAACAATGAGCGAGGAAGTTAAAACTTTTGAATGTTACTCAGAACGATAACTGTGACATGCGTTACATATATTACGATTCATCTAGATGTTCATCTAGATTATTAACATTAATATGAAGGTTTACCTGATTATTAATCGATTTAGTCGAATTAATCGAATTAATCGATTAGAAAATTATCTCTACTACAAAATTCTATGATAATTTTTATTATAAAATTCTCTGCATATATATAGGATGCTAAATTTTACATGTATCAAGTTAAATATTTCGAAAGCTAGATAATATCGAGGTCCGTTTTTTTTTGGTTGTATTGTTTCGAAGAGAACACATTTTGATAAAAAATTTTAATTTTAGGTGGAGTCGTCAAGGTGAAATAAAAGTCAAATTATTTTTTAAAATAGAATTTTAATTTTTTAAACATCTACGTTTACAGTCCTTATTACGATGAATTTAACGACCTCAAGTTGACTAGAAGTTAAATAATGGAAAATAACTCAGAAAAGGAAAATATAATAAATTAAATAAAACAAAGAAAAAGTAAAATTTCTTAATAAATCTTCAATAAGGACAAAATATCTTAAAAAAAGAAGGGCTTTTCACTGTGAAATGGAGAATTCTGTTAAATTAAGTGTTCAAAATGTCTCCTTACATCTGTGTAAGCCTGCAATTTTCATTGAAAATCATTAAGTACTCTTTATAATTCGTTCGCTGAAATTATTTACTTGAAATTTTACGCTTCACGTATTCGTTGCATCATATTTTCCGTGGTAGTTGGAAAGTTAACGTAAACAATTTCTACTCCAAAAATTCTTTTCCAATTCTACTCTATGAATAATAATCTAGACAGGTCAAATCAGGTTGATCCCAAGACACTGAAACACATTCTTCAACCTTTTTCTCCATTATTTGATCTCTAATCATCTTGGCTATGTAGTCGTTAAATTCATCATAATAAGGGCTACAAACGTTGATGTTCAATAAATTAAAATTCCATTTTAAAAAATAATTTGACTTTTAATTTACCTTAACGCCTTCGCCCGAAATCAAATTCTTTTTTTTTTATCAAAATATGTCGTCTTTGAAACAATACGACCTAAGAAAAAACGGACCTCAATATGATTTAGTTTTTAAAGCAGCTGACCTATTACATTTGGAATTTAGCATCTTGTATATCTTATATTTAGATTATTCATGCTGCAGTTACGTATAAACGGCTCAAAATTACTGACATTAGAATTCGTATGTATTAGTCATAATATGAAGTAAATGATTTCTAAAATTATGTTCTCTGTCGAAATAGCATAACAATAAAATAGTTTAATAATATATAAAAAAAGCACGCTGTATGGTTATGAATAAAACTTATATAGGCACAAAAGCAAGAGAAATATTTGTGCGTTACGACACCGTAAAATTTATTTATTCGTATTACAGCTCAAAAGTAGTTTTATGTTTTATGTTTTGTTCCATACGCACGCCTTTGTAATATAATTAAAATATATATGCGGTATTTTTAAGCGCACAAGAATATATTTTCAGTCGATCGTTAACAATAAACGTTAAAAATGAAAAAGCTCATGAGAATTCGCGCTTCAACACGCGAGAGACTTTGAATACAATTAAACGCTTTGCAGGTGACAGCTCGCCTGAAGCAGACGTTCGTGTCTAGAATCTGAATACGAAATTACGCGCCATTGAACATGCTGCGAAAATCACAACGGCGGTATAGCAATAATGAATTCAGTATTTACCTTCGCGAACTAAAATGTAGCTTCTCGAAAATGCATTAACACCCGCATATTTGCATCACACAATGCAGACACTAAGTGCGTATACAAGAAATAACGTAACTTAGAAATATTAACTCACATAACATATAATTTACAAAAATATCATAGTTAGATTAGCAATATACCAATAATATTACATACTATAATATAATGTTACTGAAATATTACTGATATATTATATTTATATATAATGTTGAAATATTATGGTAATAATACTGATATATTATATTTACATTAATAATATTATATTGCAATATATCATATCCCAAGTAGCAAGATAATGTCAAAAGACGTTTCTATTATGTCTTATGTATATTAAAAACGTCATTGAGACGTCATTTAATGTCACTTGCTACTTTAAACGTTATACATCGCATTGGAATATGAATAAAATATTTCAAGGATAATATATTATTTTGTAATAAGACAAATATATTTTTCATTAATATTATTTAAACATATATATACATATATAAACACTTTACACTGCAATATACATTTGAGTATTATTAATGAAAAATATATTCGTAACATCACAAAATCATACACAGGTGTACATACATACATATAATTAACTTTCACGGAATAAAATGTGGTCAAAATAAATTTATTATGTATGTAGTTTTCAAGTAGGTATAATTGCAGTAGTGGTAAATTTATCGTTATATGGAATTTTTAATTTTTGCGCTAATGTTTTGACAAAGCTATGATTCTATAGATTTGTTTTGCTTGTTATATTATTCCAAGATGTTGTGATTTGCACGGTGTGTTTCTTATAAAACAATATTAACAATAAAGATAACATTTCAATGATAACATTTCAAACCTAATATTAGATTAACTAATATAAAAATAACTCTTATGGAAAAAAGATTCAAATATTGAATGTTTACACTCAATTATTCGAATTTACTCTCAAATATGCGGATATATACTTAATTTTGAGTGTATATACCCACATTTGACAATAAATTCAAACAATTGAGTGTAAACACTTTTTGAATGTTTTTTTTCCGTAAGGGTATGCTATAATTTCACAGTATTATATAGTAATATTACTGTATGACATGTCACTACAACATTATTGTGATATATTATCGTACACACCCTGATAGCACATGTTCTCCTGGGGACATCCTAAGGACGTCCTAAGGATGAAGAAACATCCCCAGGACATCCTCAAGACGTACTCTGGACGTCCTCTGGATATCTATGTTATTAGAGCACACATATAATATTACTATAATACATCACTATAATATTATTATTACCATAATATTACCGTAATATCACTATAATAATGTAGTAATATTTCTACTATATTACGTTGTAATATTGCAATAGAAAGTAATGTTATCTTAATATTACGTGCTATGTGGGAAATTGAAGGAACGGACATTTAACAAACAAAATCATTGAAAAACTAAAATCAATATGATCAAAGCAACAGCGGTGATGAAGAACTAAGACATTTCCAAACTGATTACCAATTTCATAATTAGCAATTCTCTTCGTGAAATAGATATCATTCGTCCACAACATTTCGCGAAATGACAAAACGCGCGATTAAGATTACGAGATTTACGGATTTTAATGTCGCTGTAAATTCGCAAATATGTTTTCTCCGAATGGTCGTAGAAATCGAGAGAATTTGTATTCGCGTAGAAATATGCACTTTTAGGAACATGTTACAGCTCTGTTCCATTCACGCTGCACCGGAGACTAGATCCAAGGTGATTTTGCAGCCGGTACACAAAGTGACCGGATGCACCGGCAATAACGTATCCGCTATCAAATGGTTCTGTCCTTCAATAGTATTTCGCCTAGCAAAAGTCGCGCAGATGATTAGGAACATGATCGGCGTGCCAATATACGTCGACGATCTAATAAGACAAAATGTAGCCTATTATAAAGCAACCACCTTCTAGTGCGAAACACCTCAAGATCAACGTACGACCTCGACAGCGCTCGTTGTGCGAAGCAGCGACACATGAAGGAGTTTTTGCACGGCGTAGCGCGCAGCTATTATAAAACATAATTGCTAAAGTAATCGATGTTACACGGACAAAAAACGCGTTCTTCGCGCTTCTTAGTGGCATCACCATGAATTTAAAGCACGTTAAAGGCTTTCTTGCAGGAAGGCGAACGCAAGCAAATTTTACGTACACGAATATAATTTATCTACGAGATATTTCGATCAATATACATATCACAATATATCAGGAATTTTATAATATCGAAAGTTTAAATATTATTAGTCACTACACTCATACGTAGTATGGGCGCGTGGTAGTCGGATTATCAGGCACAATACATACCTGTAGAAAGTTTTATGTGCGCGTGGGCCAAAGTGCGTGGGTAGACTAGCCTTCAAAGTTCTACGCTGGAAAAAACCAGGATCGTCAAGTGCGTGGGCTTTCAGTAGGAGGACCAAATAAAAAAAGTGTCTGTCATTATACATAACTGTAAGTTAGGTTGATTGGAAAGGTGGTCTCATAAATACCTCTGTTTCGCATAAAATCTGATCGCAAATAGAATTCTGATATGTATTATATTTAACGATATATAAAAGAACTAGCAAGAAAGTAAAAGCAATCGATATGACGGAAGTCATAAGAGTCGTTAATGAGATTTATACGGTTTCTTGAGTTGCGACATAGTATAAACTGTAAAACACAAGATCGTTACATTTGTGAAATAAATACAAAGATTATCATTCTCTTTTATTAATATCTTTTGACTGCGCACAACATAAGTATATACAAAATTGCATAGTAACATGTCACTAACTCTTCTAATCATTTTCCGAATCGCTACCATCATCGCTCTCATCCTCTAACTCTGGCATGGGAAAACGTAATAAAGCTACTATCCCAGTCAACTGATCTAATTCTGAAAACCGAATCATATTTTAATATGATGAGATCGATGAGTATAATTTATGCAATTTTTTGAAAGTTTCCAATGCTCTAAACTTAACAGAGATTATTTACATAAGACTTACGTTCACCCGAAACATGCAGGCTTGAAAATATTTTGATATCGCCACCTGAATCTTTGACATTTTCGACCAATTCCACATATTCCTTCCTTAGCGCAATGTCTTGGCATCTACATATAGAGAATCGTGAAAAATGCGTTGTACAACAGAAATAACACTGAAACGAATAGCAAAGAATTAACAATTACCTAAACAATTTATCTGATATAAGCAAGGTTTCAACTGCTTGAGCGGCAGCAGCTTTCTCAACATGTTTTTTGCCATAAAATGCTCTAGCAGGATCAATCTGTAGAGTGGTATAAAATGCTTCTAGAGCCCTCACTTCTCCTGCTGCTTTAGTGTCAGAAATTCGAGATATTACAGTAGGATCACCCAATACCTCTGTTATAACAATGAATCATATAAATAACACAAAAATAATTGTAAACAATTTGTATTTTGCTAATACTACTGTTTGTTCATGTTTTGCAGATACATATATATTACCTTTCAATGAATGTTTGAAACCCGAACTAGCATGAACTAGCAGAAATTTACTTTTGTTCTCTAAAATAAGTTTATTATCGGACTTAACAGCTTGTTGTATCATATAATCCATAAACTGATCTTTCACAAAACCTGGACTGGCGAGAATAACACATTTCACCAAGTCAAAATTGATGTGTCTTAATATACCCTGCATGATGCTTTCGTAAAATCGTGTCAAGCCCTAAATACATGTCCACAATTAGAAACTCATGTGCTTATCATATAAAATATTTATAGCATTAATACATAACACTTCAAACCTTTTCATGTTGTGAAACATTTCCTTTCCTCTTTCTTGGTATAACTTGATCGATCTTTGCACGAACTATTGTCATGTTGGATGTTATTAAACAAATGTGTGCTATACCTTCCTGCATAATAGCAGCAGCTACATCAGCATTCTAAAAAAAATAAATGTTATCACACTGCAACATACATAATTCAATTTTCTAAAAAATTATTAACCTGTGCAGGATCACAAGCAGTGTCAACTCTTTCCAAAGAGATCGAATCCCATTTAGCTTTGGTAATGACAAACTTTCGATTTTGCTCTACATCAAGTGTATGATATGCTCCTGTCTGTACAAAAGTTAAGAAATTACTATATATTCTGATATTTATATGATATTCTTTTTTATATGAACCTTTTTATATGAACTATCATTTTAAATATCACAAATATCCTAAACTACATAAATACTGTTATTTAATGATACCTTAACATATTTATTTTCTTCCACATTTCTACCTTTAAGTCTTAGAACACAGGCTTGTGTATCAAAGTCGATATTCTCTACACTTATTTTAAGAGTAGTTCTAACTCTATAGCTGTTAGAACTACCGGTTGCAGATTCCATTTGCACTTTCCTATTTAAATATAAAAATATAATTAACAGAAAAATATCAATAAATTAGATACAATTATTAAACAACAAGCTTTTATATATACCTAATAGTAGAACAGCTTACAAAGTCTCCTTCGCTAATGAGATTATAAGCATGCCACATATCCTCTGTATTTTCAGGAACAAGAGCCACACTTCTAGATTTATAAGTTTAAAAATATTAAGTTTATAAAAATTTAAGAAATATGTAGAAATATATATGAAATATATTTACCCTTCTCCATCTTTATCTACATTCCTTGATACTAGCTTCATCTTAACAAATATATTTGTGTCCTATCTATAAAAATATAGACATGTAATACAAGCGAAACACTTACTATATCTGCAAAACTAAAATTTGTAAATTAAAATTACATGTGACCAATGTTTGCCTTGTTTCGATGAAAGTTAGGTTTTATATATAAGTACACTTAAATATATACATATATATATGTATATGCATACACACATATATAGACACATATACATGCATTTGAAAGGCATTTAACATTAATATTTTTTTAATTAAGACATTAATATTTTTATTATGACAAAAAACAATCACTTTGTAAAAGAAAATTTTATATAGGTTAACTCACAACATCTTATATGACACAAAGTATAAGAGTTATAATTAAGTTATAAATTCATTCTTACATTTATTGCACGACTATATTCCTAGAAAAAATATTCGATTCATGTCTTGCTTTTATCCGTAAAATTGCAAAATAAATTATGCCATATGTCAAACATGATCCTCTCGCTTTCGGTTCGACGATTTCATACCCAACATGTGATCAGTAGATAACCTCAAAAATACTTCTTCCAAATGGTGTTTATAGATTTGCTCTTTTTAGTTGAACTATAATTGTATTGAAATCGAAATAGAAGAATGAAAAGAACGCGAGATAATACAATAAAATAACTAACATAAAATTATATTAGTTCTTACGTGCGAAAATATCATCGACCAATTTTGTTCATCTAAGTTTTGACAATAAATTGATCTCAATGTATATTAATGTAACATCGCAGAGAATAAATAAATTTAATATTTAATAATAAATATGAAAACTAGAGATTTCAAGCTTTAAATTGCTTTTTAAACTATTTCGTTATCATCATTTTTGTAGAAATTATAACTTATTGAAATTTGCCTATATATCAACAGGCCTATTCCAAAGTCAGTTTCGGAAACTTTGTTTTTAGTAGAGAGGAACGTGAGAGCGGCCAACACGGCGTTTTCAGCGACACCGATTTTCCGTACTGGGAAAGGACGCCATCTACATCCATTTTGAGAGTAGAACTACGATGCTACATCCACTTCCGGGTTTCGGCGGTAAAACCTGTATGTGGTGGCAATTCGTGCTACATCCATTTTTAGGAGGTTTATGTCCGTGCTACAACCATAATAGCGTACTTGACAAGCACGGTCTCGTACATTGTTACGCGTCATAACATGAATTAACATGTTAACATGTGCAAAAAAAAGAATTGACATTGTGTATGATTAATATCATGAAGAACATACGAAGTGTCCGGTAATTAGCTGCCAACCCGAAGTGTGAGGATAAATTGGATTGAGACAAAATAGATTGGGTTGGGACAAAAAGTCCCACACCGTTTTGCGAGATTCGCAATAATTATCGAGTTATTAATGACAGAAATCTGAGGAGTAAAAGCGCGCCGACATAGATGATTCGAAAAGCATTGCAGCTGCTCAGGGCAACGATCATGAATCTTTTCCCTAACATGAACTAATAAAAAGTGAAAGACTTCTGTGAATCAGAGAAAAATGAAAAATTTTATATGAATTTGTGAAAATCGAAACATTTCACACGACAATTGAGTCGTTCAACATGGCAGTTGCATTCTGGATAATTCTTAATGAATACCAAAGAAATCAAAATGATCAAAATAATAATGTCCGTGTAGTCCGAAGGATATTACGTGACACGCAAAATCCATTTGATATAATATCCAAAGAAAATGTTTCAAAATATGTATGTACGTATCGGAAGATATCAAAGACTATTAATACAGAAAATAGGCCGAATATGCATATGTATATGTCTCTTAGGATTGCGAGACGTGAGAAAATTTAGAATAATTTTTATTTTATAAATATATACACACGTTGGCATTCCTTAAGTTGATAATTCGAAGTTGAAATAATACTAAAATTGCAAACGGAAATATATGTACAGAGTGTTTCACAAATTCCTCGCTCCTAGGAATTCACGAAGACATAAAACGGATTAAGATAAATATAAAATTCCCATACCATTTTGCGATGTGCGCAATAACCGAGCTACATTACAGAAAGCATTACCCAGCTAATTACAGAAATGTAATGAATGAGCACGCGCCGAGATGGTATCGAAAAAGCAACGAAACTGCTCGAGCCAAGAGCGGCCCACATGATCTAACGACAGTTGCCAGCGTACAAGAAGAAGAAGAAGAAAAAGAAGAAGGACAAGCCGCCGACAAAGTAAAACACAAGTAAGCTGGTGAGGCACCCGGGCGAAAGAAATGGGGTTAAGCGACAGAACGACGGCTGACGAGAAATATAATCTAATCGGAAATTTTAAGGTAGCACTCGCTAAATATTTCCGTCGTTATGTCGTCACTGCAAATTCGAGTGTGTTGTTTTCACACGTGTGAGCGTGTAATTAGCTCAAGCTTTCTTCATACGATTTTTGCAAGATTTGAAACGACAAAATTCGTTCCCCAAAAAAGCCTCAGCCAATCGTACGCTCGTATGCGTATAAATAACACATTTGGATTTGTATCTCGAATCTTTCGAAAAAAATCGATACTTGCACTTCCGGTTCTCACAGAGAATGTCTAAAAACCTCCCTCAAACAAGCAGTATCTATGATCTTGAAATTTTCGTGGATCCCGAAACTTGTAAAGCGCAAGTTGGAGGAACAAGAATAGTTTTATTCGCGGTACTTCATTCCAAGATGGTACGTGCGCTGAATATTCTCCACATGCAACATTTTTCGTAGGCACGTCTCGGGACATTTTTTATCAAGCACGAGCGACGAACTTGTGCAAAAAAGAGCTGGAAAACTTTACGAGATGTATTGTTCGGAGAACAGAGGTTATCCGCGGATGTCACTTTCCCCATACTTATCCGCAAAAATAATCGTAATGCGGATTAAACAGCCGCGGAAGCAGCTGCGAAAGGAAAATTCATGCGGTTTTTACGACCTCACTGGTAGCAGGCTTCTTCTCATTTTTATCATCGACGAAAGAAGCACCCCCATTTTAAAGAGCGATTATAAAATGCGCGACTACTTTGTCACACTTATATCATCAACTCCCGCTTCAATTTCCCATCTCCGATAGAGTTTCAACACACGATCAAGCACGAGTTCTGAAGATTCAGTTTCCCCGAAGAAATTAGTCGGGGGACGTTCGCAGCCGCGGTGGAATTTAACGTTCGCGTTCGCAAGGGCCTAACATTTTACTCGTGAAGAGACGCCATCGCCCCTCTTTTTACAACAGTGCGGATGTTTAACTTCTTTATTCCTTATTTTTCGCGACAATGATACCGCAACGATGCCCTAACGAGGCAAGTTCGCCTATAACCAACGTTCCTGTATCTTGAGCCGTAGGAGATATCGAAAATTACATTTTTAAATCGTACTGTTAATATCTCCGCCTCTACTGGGAATTGAAAGTCGAGCTTCATGGTGAGAATAGGGTATATATAGGACTAAATTGTGGTAAAGGCGCGTTCCTATATCTTGAGCAGTTTAGGATATATCGAAGATTATATTGTTAAGGTGTTAATATCTTTGTTTCTACTAGGAATTGAGAGTCGAGCCTTATAGTAAGAATAGAGTATAGATATCACTATATTGTGCCAAAAGCGTGTTCCTGTATCTTGAGCCGTTTAGGAGATATCAAAGGTTAAAGTTTTTAAATTGTACTGTTAGTATCTCCGTTTCTACTAGGAACTGAGAGTCGAGTTTTATGATGAGAATATGGTTGATATAGGACTATATTGTGGCAAAAGCGCGTTCATGTATCTTGAGCCGTTTAGGACATATCGAAGGTTAAAATTTTTAAATTGTACCGTTAATATCTCCGCTTTTACTGGGAATTGAGAATCGAATTTTATGGAGAGAATAGGGTTGATATAGTACTATACTGTAGCAAAAAAGCATGCCTGTAGCTTGAGCCATTTAAGAGATATCGAAGATTAAAGTTTTCCAAATTATACCGTTAATATCTCCGCTTTTACTGGGAATTAAGAGTCGAATATTATGGTGACAGTAGGGATGATATAGGACTATATCATTGCGGCAAAAAAACGTGCCTACATCTTGAGCCGTTTAGGAGATATTGAAAATTAAAGTTTTGCAAATTGTACCGTTAATATCTCCACTTCTACTGGGAATTGAGAGTCGAATTTTATGGTGAAGGTAGGGTTGATATAGGACTATATTGTGGCAAAAAAACGTGCCTGTAGATTAAGCCGTTTAGGAGATATCGAAGGTTAAAATTTTTTAAATTGTACTGTTAATATATCCGTTTCTACGGAATTGAGAGTCGAGTTCTATAGTGAGAATAGGGCTGATACAGGACTATATTGTTGCAAAAAACAGGCCTGTATCTCTAGCCGTTTAGGAGATATCGAAGGTTAAAATCTACTAACTTGTACCGTTGAAGTTTCTGCTTCTACTGGGAATTGAGAGACGAAATTTATGGTGAGAATAGGGCTGATACGGGACTATATTGTTGCAAAAAAACAGGACTGTATCTCTAGCCGTTTAGGAGATATCGAAGGTTAAAGTTTTCCAACTTGTACCGTTGATATCTCCGCTTCTACTGGGAATTGAGAGTCGAAACGTATGGTGAGAGTAGGGCTGATATAGGACTATATTGTTGCAAAAAAACAGGCCTATATCTCTAGCCGTTAAGGAGTTATCAAAGGTTAAAGTTTTCCAACTTGTACCGTTGATATCTCCGCTTCTACTGGGAACCGAGAGTCGAAATTTCTGGTGAGAATAGGGTTTGTGCAGGGCTATACCTTGGCAAAAAGACAGGCTTGTATCTCAAACCGTTTAGGAGATATCGAAGGTTAAAATTTTCCAACTTGTACCGTTGATGTCTCCGCTTCTATTGGGATTTGAATCGAAATTTATGGTGAGAATAGGGCTGATACAGGACTATATTGTTACAAAAAAAAACAGGTCTATATCTCTAGCCGTTCAGGAGTTATCGAAGGTTAAAGTTTTCCAACTTGTACCATCGATATCTCCGCTTCTACTGGGAATTGAGAGTCGAAATTTATGGTGAGAATAGGGTTGATATAGGACTATATTTTGGCAAAAGCACGTTCTTGCCGTCTCTTGAGCCGTTTAGGAGATATCGAAGGTAAAATTTTGAACTTGTACTGTCAGTATATCTTTTTCTATTGCAAATTGAGAGTCGAGCTTTATAGTGAGAATTGGGTATATGTAGTAGTATATTTTGGCAAAGGCGCGTTCCTGTGTCTTGAGCCGTTTAGGAGACAAAGGTGCGTTCATATATTTTTAGCCGTTTAGGAGATATCGAAAGTTACTTTCCGCAAACTTATCCGTAAAAATGATCAAAATGCGGATTAAACAAGCCGCGGGAGCAGCTGCGGAAGGAAAGTCAATGAGATTTTTAGGACTTCAACAGCAGCAAGCTCTAATTTCTTTTCGTCTTTATCACCGATGAAAGAAGCGCCCATTTTTAAGAGCGATCATAAAATACGCGACTACTTTGTCATGTTTATATCATCGACGTCCGCTTCAATCTCCCACCCTCGATAGAGTCTCAACGCACGATCTAGCGCGAGTTATGAAGATTCAGTTTCCGCGAAGAAACTAGTCGGGGGACGTCCACAGCCGCGGTGGAATTTAACGCTCGCGTTCGCAAGAGCCTAACATTCTACTCGCGAAGGGGCGCTATTGCCCCTCTTTTCACAATGGTGCGGATGTTTATCTCCTTTTTTCCTTATTTTCCGCGACGATACCGCGACGAGGTGCTAACGAGTCAAGTTCGTTTATAACCAGCGCTTATGTCAAGAGTGCTTCTCGGGAACATTCCGCTCGAGAGATTAATGCTGCGATAGAAAACGACCGGAGGCCGCTGTGGTTTAAAGTTAAATTGTAGCAACGGCATTGCTATCGGGCAGCTCTGACACGGGCTGCTGGCATCCGTCCATGACGTCTGCCGCGCGCCTTTGCGATTATCGGGAAATTCATAGTTTTTTGGATTGCTCACGCGATTTCAAGTGGCCATAATATATGGCGATAATACATGGCAATATGTGGCAATAATATGTGGCAATAATATATGGCAACAATATACGGCAACAATATATGGCAACAATATATGGCAATAATGTATGGCCATAATACATAGCAATAATTCATGGAATATATTTGTCATTACAAAAGTCAATGCAAATTTGCGGCATGCACAATGTAATAATAAAAGAGCTCTCTGCGAGCATTGAGTCAAACACTCACTGATGATGATATTGGTGATGTCCCGTTGCATCCAACCAGATCAATCAATGTCCGCCCATGTCCGCTGCCACTCTTCATGTCGCGCAGCATCCATCTTGCAGCGCGTCCCACGTTGATTACTACACTTTCACCACACTTCCGCGTCGCGGTCGATAATTGTATAAGAGCGGCGATATTTGTGTCAATTAACGAAAGTTTTACGTCGACATCGTTAGAAACTTTTTACGCGCTGCGAAACGGACTCTAGAAACTCGATCAGCTAGGAGCAAGAACCGTGTGAAAATTTATCAATTCGTCCAACAGATTTTTACGGCGCTTTTCGCAATCGCGTTTGAAAAGTCGCGAAAATGCGGGAGTATCGATATCTACGAGAATATTCGCGAATGCATGCGAGAAAAGATTAGACGATCAGAAACCGGTTGCTCCGAGGGAACGCAAAGAGAGAGAGAGAGAGAGAGAGAGAGAGCGGGGCAAAGTTTTCACGCATAACAGTTCCGTCACGACGAAGCTTACGTTCGCGATACTTTGACGAAATGAGAATTTAAGCTTTCTTTATTACCAGGATAAAAACGCGGATAAAAACGCGTATATTGATAACCGCGGCCGCAATCAAAGGCACACGAGCGAGGATACCTCAAGCTCGGCGTGCGCTGGCGCAATTTCTGCGCGCAGTATACGCTACTCAAGACAATAGGGATCGTGATGAATGGACAATATTGCCAAATAATTCTACAGCCTGTTTTGGAAATAAAAGGAAAATAGCCAATGATATCGGCATTTATGCGTATGAATATATTTTACACGGACAATTGAATATTGTCAAATAATTGTCGTTAAATAATTCTGCAGCCCATTTGAAAAATAAAAATGAAGGAACTAATGACGGTATCGCGTTTGTAAAAATATCTCTTATTCAGATGATTGAACATCAAAAGAGAATCATTCGGTATTTTAAATCTCGTATGTGATGCAAGCTATCGATCAAGTAATCCCCTGATTATTTCGAGCAATGTATTTTATTCAACGTCACAAACACACACATGCAAAATCTATTTGCAATTCGCATTGACTGGAACGATGTTTTATCTCCCATAGTTCCACATCCGTCATGCGGAATTTTGCTTATCTTTTCATTTTGCATTTACTCACCAAAACGACTTGCAGTCAGAGCCGGCTACGTTCCGCTTCAACTCTGTAACAAAAAATTCACATTTGCTCATCAGATTTGACCAACGAGTGCGGGCGAGTAAAAGAGTAGTTTATCCTCTGCGATCCTAATTCAAGTCGAGCCGGAAATTATATCCCAGCTCTAGATCGCCAAAGGTCAAACAGAGGACTATAGTAAATTTGTAAACTTACCTTCAAGCCGACTCTGCTTGGCCCGAACCGAATCCTCCGGTGCGGCATCCGCGTCCGCCGGATTGCTGTTGCTTTCCGCAACAACTGAAACAGAAAAATAATTCTCTCGGTTGATAATCTGCGGTAGAGAGAGAATATCTTGATCGGGACGAATCGAAAATACGGAAATATTTTGATACGGGATTTTTACCTTTATATTTTAGTTCCAACATTGAAAATTTAAATGAGACATGAAGCTTTCAAGAGAGTTGATGAGGAACAAGTTGCAAAGGCAAAGATTGTAAAGAGTTGAACACAGATGTGTAGGAAACTTGTAAACTTTACCTTCCGGCCGACCCTGGTCTGCCCGAACCAGATCCTCCGGTGCAGCATCCGCGTCCGCCGGACTTGCTTCTCGCAACATCTGGAACAAAAATTTAACGTTCCTGGTTGGTAAGCTGCGAAAGAGAAAGAATGTTTGGTCGGGATGAGTGGAGAATATTCGCTACGATTTTTGTTCTTCATTGACATTAATGTCTAGATAGGAGCTCTTGAAAGAGCTGACGAAAAAAAATGATAACAAGAAGCGGAGACAACAGTTGTGTGCTCTCGAAAATACTCTTTTACGAATGGACATTTAAATTTAGATCCCGTAATGAGAGTAAACAGACTTGAAAGAAGCGTTAACTGAAAACAAAAAAGGTCGCAGTCTAAGAAGCGGTATGACGTTGAATATTCTACACAAGACCGGTATACTCATACAGTTGGAAATTATTCAGAATGTTTGATTAAGAACATGATGAATAAGAGATCCGCATTCATGGACCGTTATCCGTCTCTGTCTGGATCAATATCTTTTGTATACAACAACGCAATAAATAGATAGACAGAGATTAATTGCAAATTTATAAAGTGATGATTAGTAGTCGGATGATGACGGATTGTGAATGCCGAGCGCGAAATTCCAACTTCTTTTCCCCGAAAATTCGTCAAACGTCCGCTCTCGTTATCGGAGACCTCCCACATAATAAATGATTCCACATACCTGAAAACGTGACGTATCGCTGCCGGCGTTCTGCTTCCCGACTGTTGAAGTCCTCCGGATTTCACTCGCTCACGCTTCTAATGCCGATACTCGCGATTCGACCGTGCAGTTAATGAATGAGATGCCGACGCGATGCCGATTGAGTATCTCGAGCACCGACGAGATATATTTCTTTTAATTACGAGACGGAAGTGACGAGCGCGTCGCACACGGCTGCTGTTGATGGAATGAGGTCGAATACACGAGGTGCGCGAGTATTATAATACGAAGGGCAAAAAGTGTCGTCGCTCGCGAGCCGATCAACACAATCGGCGCGATATAAACATTGCGGGCCTCGACGACGGTTAAAGCAAGAGAGACTTGCCTTTGAGCGTCTCTTCTTTTCTCGAAGGTTCCAGAACGACGAGGGGAATGCGAGGAGGCCTTTCAACTATACGCGATATTGATGCTCTATTTATTGATTACTAAAAATAAAGAAAATTACTCTGTCAAAGCATCGGACATTTGTTAGCTTTATGTTAATTAAAGAGGAATGTGTACGATTAAAAAATGTGTTAGCAACTAATTGTACAGAGTGTCAAAGTTGTTGTGACGCTGTTTGCGAAGAATAATTAAAGGTCATGATAGCGTTAAAGAGTGGAATTTCATCCCGTGCGAATTTTGTCTCGTTCTTATTTAATGTTAGTCGTGTATAAAATGTCGTATTTAAAAGTATGTTTCGGATTCGTATTTAAAAGTATGTTTCGGATTCACGAGATTTTGTCGTGAATTCTGCTTTGCGAGAATCTCAGATTGGATCGCGGTCCAATACTTTGCAATGCGACGGGAAATAGAATGTGAAAATCTTGTACGCCTCTGAATCCGAAAACAATTAAGAGAAGTGAATACTTTTCAATACGAAAGTTCGCATTTGAAAATTATCGATTGCGATTGAATACAAGGTATATTTGAAATGGATTGAATCCTTATTAATGCGAAGCATTCACCACTGCCATCTCGCATTTAGCGCGGTGAAATTTAATGGGAACTAATACTTTTTAGTCCCTTTCTTCGGATCAGAAAGCAAAATTCAGACGTATGCAAAATGTCAATACTTTTTAATATGTTTCAGTTCGACATTTTATACAGGGAGATTATCCGCTGCGGACAATAACTCTTCTACTTTTCATCTAATATTCAATGATGATAAATAACATTTAATTGCATTCGTTTGGCTTTTTTATTTCGAAAATAAAATATATACCAGGGTAAGATTTTACCCATGACAACATCCACGTGATTTTCTTTGATGCTTTTTTTAAAAGTTCAAATATTTCGTCGACTCGCGGGATATTTATAATCGGAGTCTCGTGACATTAACACGTGCTCCTCCGAGCGGATGGAATGCTCACCGACGGCCACTGTCAGTGCCACGAGCGAATGTCCAGAGCGAACGGGATGCTGAATTCAGAAACAGGACGAAGTGAACGGGACGCGGGCGATACATCATGCGTCTCCATACATGTCAAATTATTTATTATATAAGAGACTTTGATACGGCAATATATATTCGAAGATTTAACATTTAATACGTACTTTTATTTTTTCTACTCCCCTCCCTCCCTGCCCCTGACTCTTTTTAGATCACCGGGCATAGTCTGGCATAGAGATGGCAACTGTGGTTACAGCACGGACATAAACCGCCTGAAAATGGATGTAGCATAGACTTCCACCACATGCAGATTTTACCACCGAGACCTGAAAGTGAAAGTACTATCATAGTTCCCCTTTCAAAATGGATGCAGATGGCGTCCTTTCCCAGTGTGGAAAGTCGGTGTCGCAGAAAATGTCGTGTTGGTCGCTTTCAGGTTTCTCTCTGCTTCCAGCCATACTCTTACAGCTATTGTAGACAAGCTTAAAGCGTGGTCTACAATGGCCGTAAGCAGTAAGAAGAAAGCGTGAACAGTAAGAAATGGACCAACCACAGCTGATTATTTTTGTCATAATCGACTGTGATTGATTTATTTCTTACCGCTTACGTTTACTTCTTACTGCTTACTGCCATTGTAGACCACACTTATGACAAAAATAATCAGCTGTGGTTGGTCCATTTCTTACTGTTCACGCTTTCTTCTTACTGCTTACGGCCATTGTAGACCACGCTTAAGAGAAACGGAACGGGCTATGCACTTTATGCCCTGCACTAGGCATCCATGCGTCTCATGCGAGAAACGGAACGCATCCGTGACCCAACCTTCCTGCTCTTGTGCTCGCACGCACGATGTTGGTTCACAGTCTCGCCGCATGAGGCCCTCAAAGTCAATTCTGGATTTGCCTCTGGCTCCTGCAGACCCATGCAGATCCTTAAACGCGCAAATAATAATTTATTTAAATATTATAATGAGCAAAATATATAACATCAAACATCATGCATTTTTTTTAATTTCTATATAATTTATATCAGACTACTATATATTTAAATGAGACCATATTTGTTATTGATGTTCATTTCACATACACAATACCTGTATAATGATAAAAAAGATTCTCTATTTTGGTGTTATTGAATAGTATTATGTAAGATCAAATAACTTATATAATAAATGGATTAATATTTTAATATTTCAAAAATCATTGTATTGTTTTAATATATTATTTAGTATATTTAATATTTTAATATATTATAAATCTTAAATTTCATCATTATGTTTTTTAAGTATACTATTGAGGTTATGTAATTGTTTTCTCATAATCTAGCATAATTGCATTTTGTATAACATGATGTAATAGGATAATGATATTTTATCATTTTGTTGTTTAAACATAAAAGGTCAATGTGTCATTGTGTTTTATATTCACTTATTAATTGTTCATATTATTTAGATATATTATTATGATGAACGACGAGTACATAGTGAAAACTATCCTGCATGCAGGAACAAAAACTATTAATTTTATACCAGGAACAAAGGTTTGTAATTTTATATTTACTTCTAATTTCTCTCATAAAGCCTTTATTTAATAAATTTTTAACAGAAAGTGTTAGTTTACTGTATATATATGTGTATATTGTACATGTATATTAAAATTTTAGGTTATATTTCATTTTAAAACTACAAAATGTGATTATAACAAAACAATAATAGATGATAGTAAAGCAATGGGAAGTCCAATGGAACTGGTATTAGGGAAAAAATTTAAACTTGAAGTATGGGAAGCAATTGTACAAAAGATGGCATTAAATGAAGTTGCTTGTTTCAAAGTACACAAGAGTGTAAGTTGTAATACTTGTTATAACTATGTATCTATTTTAAAGCATATTTTTTTAAACATAGGTTTTTTCATGACAAACTTTGTTTTAGCTAGTGACTGCATACCCTTTTGTGTCTAAGACATTAAGAGAGGCTGGCAAGCCACAATCACAAAAACGTAACCATCATTGTTGTGGTGTTACTCTACAAAACGAAGGCGTCGGATATGCTGATTTAAATGAGCTTATAAAATATTCTCAAGATCTGGAATTTACTATAGGTATAATATAACATAATACATATTAATGTATTGTACTTCAAAATTTCTTAATTACTAAAGTTTTTTATGTTTAACATTTGAAAATATTTTTTAATGCTCTGTTTAATGGTTATATATTTTCTATTTTTATAAGTGTAAGAAATAGTTTTCTTATAATCTGAGTATATGATTTATCTAAGAAGCAGAGCTAACAAAAATTTTGTTACATCTTAGAACTTATTAAAGTAACTTTTCCAAATGAATATGAAAAAGAATCCTGGCAGATGACAGAAAATGAAAAACTTGAAAGTATTCCATATTTAAAAGAAAAGGGAAATGTTCTTTTCAAAGAGAAGAAATATGATAGTGCATCAGAAACATATGCAAAAGCTATTGGAATGTTGGAGCAACTCATGCTGGTGTAAGACATTCACGATCTTTATAATGTATACTTGAAATCTATAATAAAATTTCAAATAGTAAAGACATTGATATATATGTGTATATATATATATATATATGTGTGTGTGTGTGTTTGTAACTATATATATATATGTAAATTTTCAGTGAAAAGCCAAATGATGAAGAATGGCTGTCTTTAAATAAAATGAAGGTACCATTACTTTTAAATTATGCACAATGCAAATTATTAAATAAGGAGTATTATTCAGTCATCGAACATTGTACAACAGTCTTGAAAATGGATCCAGGTTATATAAGAAATACCAATACTAATACTAAATTTTGCAAAAGCAAATATCTGATAAATAAATTTATTTTCATGTTGCAGAAAATGTAAAAGCACTTTATCGACGAGGTAAAGCGTATATTGGTGCGTGGGATGAGAAAAATGCTATTAAAGATTTAAAGAAGGCTGCTGAGATAGACCCTTCCTTACATAACCATACTGAAAAAGAATTACAGATTTTTACAACAGCTATTAAAGAAAAGGACATTGCACAAAAAGAGAAATTATCGAAATTGTTTAAATAAATATATGTATATGTATATATATGTGTGTGTGTATATATATATACACACATACTAGGTACATACATACACACATGCACACATATGACACATGCACTCACACACGAATACATTCACATATACACATTCATACTGCAATATTAATCTCTAAGTAATTGTGTTGATTAATTTATAGAAATAGACATTTTTTTTCATTTTAGGAGGTAACTCTAGGTTATAGTAAAAGGTATATAACTCTTTACTGTAAAATTTCTCAATTTCTGGGATGTAATATTAATTTTGCTTTAAAGTAACCAGTATTATTAATATGTAAAGTTAAAAATCTTCTAACAAGTAAATTCGGGGAGCGTCAGACGCCGATTTGTTTCCAATTTTTTATAGTTATTTTTTATGTCAAAATATGAAGAAATCTGTTATCATTTTTAGCTTAAATTAATTTTTTCAATTTTTTTCGAAATTTTTGAAGTTTTGCACAAGTACACTATTTTATATATATTTAAAACAATATTTCTTAAAAATATATATATCTAATTTGTTGAAACTTGCACACATATGTCGCCGATTATGAATCAGAACCATTTTGTAAAATTCAAAATGGCGGATCTAATATGGCTGACATCATTGTTGAAAAAGTATTCAGTTTTACGCTACATCCCAGGTAGAACAAAAAATCGTAATAATATAATTATATCAAAAAAAAGTTATTTTAAGACAAATCAAGATGATGTCATTCGATATAGTTTTCGTGATGGTTTGATGATGTTTTTTTTGATATTGAAATAATGTTATGGTGACTTTTAGAACTGCATTAAAATAGAAAGTCACAATAATATCAAAGTGACGTCAAAATGACAAGAAAATGATCTAATCATGATTATAAAGTGAGTTTTTATAGTCTTTTATTACTCATTTTGAAGTTTTTATGATTTTTTGTTTAAATGATAATATAGCTTATACCCATACATATACAATGTCCGAAAAACATTTTAGAGATATATTTCTAAAATATTTCTAAAATGTTTTTTGGACATGTATATGTATTTGTGTATGTATGGGTGTAAGAAATATAGGATAAAAAATGTGAATGTGAATATTTGGATGTTATTTTGAGGGTTTTTGTCGAACGTTAACCCTCATTTGGGTATAACCTCCAATTGACGATCCGAAATCACATCCAATTTGAGTGTTTTTTCGGTATATAACACCCAAAATTGAGCGTTTATTCCGTGTATAACACTCAAAGTTGAGCGTTTTTTATCGGTGTTTAACACCTAAAGTTAAGCGTTTTTTTAATGTTAACACCCAAAATTGAGGGTCTTTTTTTTCATAAGGGCTCATATACATATATGTTATATGAACAATTTTTTGTAGGAAAATCTACAGTTTACATTACACATAAGATTCCTGAGGATAATAACGTCATTAAACCTCAAAGATTCTTAAATATCGCATATGGGGCATTCCATATGAAGTGATACACCCAAATTTTCAAAGTTGTACGATTATGCTGAAATTTGCACAAATTGTAGTCCTATCACAACTAAGATTTTTGGCCAAATTGTTTGACTCACGACCAACGAGTTGTCTAGTAATAGAGGCTTGAAGTTTTAACATTTGGGCCGTTGTGTCCAACTTCAAACGCCGGTAAGTTCCAGTAGACTATTCCGATTTTCAAAAACAAGGAGTGATTTCTAAAGGTCTTTTTGCGCCCTTTAATCCTATGAAATCAGTTTTGTTTTTAAGTCAAAATTTATTTAAAAGTTTTGAAGGATAAGAAAGAAATTGTTTTTTCTCAAATTCAGACATCTTTGATTTTCTTCGAAAATATCTTTAAAAAAAGTAGAATTCTTGCCCTTTAAAATGATTCCAAGATCAAAATGGGCAGACTTTTAGTTTTCAAGATACAGTTTGTTTTAGGACCGAGCGCGTCACGCACGGTGCAGCTCGGCCGCTGTTGCAAGTGCCACGGATGATCCGATCAGTTCTATTGCTTGTGGCCAGACATGATGTGATCTGTGTCATATATCATATATATATATATATATATATGATCAAGCCATTTACTATAATATATAAACACCAGCAGCTTCTCTTTGCTAGGCTCATTATCACATCTTGATTAAGGATCACTTTTATTTTGATATCCTTATAACCACCGCGATCTTGCCTCCATTTCCTGGATCAACCACCAATCTTGCTTTCGTTTGTCGGATTACCCGCCGATCTTAGTTGGCTAGACATCTTATCATAAAAACCTCGATAACCTTGAAACGGCTGACCCAAAGTGAATATAATTATAGTATTTTGAAAGGGTCTGAATAAGAGGACTATAAGAATATGCAATAAAAGATGTAGGATTACATTTAAAAAATTCGAGGTAATTTTCACCTGACCTTGGCGACACAACCCAAGGTCAAACTGATAAAGCTAATAAATAGTTTTAAGTCTTACAACTTTTATCTAAAACATTTTTCTTATAAAACTTATATATAAGTTTTATCTAAAAACTTTTATCTAAAACATTTTTCTTATAAAACTTATATATAAGTTTTAAACTTATATATATAAACTTATATAAACTGTTACACAACTGTAACGATATAGTCAAGCGATATAAATATTTCAGAAACTAAAGTGATTATTTTAAAGTGTTTATATTTATAATGCAGCATATATATTCTTTTGCCATTTTTATATCATTTTTGTATCATTTATTGTCAATGACGTTTAAGTGACAAATAAAGTCATATTGACATCATTATGATATCATTATGACTTCTATGTTCTACCTGGGATTCGATGTTGGGTAATCTTCCGGCTCTATCCAGCAAACAAACTTATTTTAACGTCAAAATCTGATAAAAAATGAACAAGAAATGAACAAAAAAAGAATGAACAAAAAACTTCAGAAATTTAAAAAAAAATTGAAAAAATTAATTTAAGCTAAAAATGATAACAAATTTCTTTATATTTTGACATTAAAAATAACTATAAAAAATTGGCAACAAATCGGCGTCTGACATTCCCCGAGATTTACTTGTAAGAAGATTGTATATTCTTGTTTATATATGATGATATTTTATTTTACTTCAAAACTTATTTCTTTTTCTATGTTATATCTAAAGACTGCAAAAATGTAAAGAATAATTTTAACAAATTAAAATTTGTATATTTCATCAATAAAAGTGTGTTTATTAATTGCAAAAATAAATTGCACATAGATATATATATTAATATTTAGTAACGGCCGAAAACTCACAAAAAAAGCAAGTCTCGTCGTCTTTACAGATAGAATTATTGTGATACGTATCCAACAGGACAGAACAGAATTTATCAGTATGCATGATTATATGCTGCAAATAAATTGTTAAACTTATGAAAAAAGGCCATCTAATAGTGCAAATTAAAAACAGTATTTAAGAAGAGCAGCGGTTAAATTTTGAACGAAATTAATTGTTTTATACGAACCTTGACTCACCGGCTATGTTTAGTACAACAAATCTCTTTCTATTTATTTTAATTATTCGATTTCAAAGAAATTTTTACCTGCGTGGTTTTATCTGTTTAATTAGTTTACAGTACAAACATATCCCGATCGCGCGATACAGTCTGATAAATTATTTGATAAAAATTTTCTGCATGTAATCTGAGACATTTATTTTTCCAAAATACTTTCCCACATTTTTCTAAATATTAAAGGATATTCTGAACAATTTCAGAAATTATCAATATTGTATATTACATAAATTTTTAATATAACATTAATAAATGCAGGAAATCTTCAATATATCTTTAAATATATTCAAAAAAATATACGAAAAGTGTTTTTCCGAGTCGAAATATTTGGTCTCATGTCAAGTCTACATGTTCCAGAAAAGTTCTTCTTTATGTCTCAACATGGAGAAAATAACTTCCAATTAATAGCATTAAAGAAATACAGTTCTGCAATTGGTTTATTCTCTTATGTGTTATGTGTTATGCAAAAGCCTGTGCTCTTGCTCTATGGAAAGGCCCACGCTATGGGCAAGAGCACAAGCTTTTGCATAACACATAATACATAACACATAAGAGAATAAACCAATTAGTTTTTTTCATTTCCCTCCTCAGGACAGAAATGAATAACTCTGATTGGTTGATTCTCTTATGCGTTATGTATTATGTATTATGCGTTATGCAGAAGTTTGTGCTCTGGCCCTATCTGATCAGCTGTCTTCCCACGTAGTTTCCCCGCGTTTCTTGCGCGAGTGCTTTATTCCAGGTTATGTTGTCTAGTGGATACAAAGGGCCGTATTCATAGTCGGATCTTATATTTAAGACCGTCTTGAGTTTACGTTCAGATATTAGATGTACAACTTTGTTTCCGCCTTTTTTTCCGAAATTCGAGGCTTTATTGTAAAAAACTGATTATACATTTATGATTCAAAGTATTGTCCATCGCTGGCCACTACTTTCTCCCATCTTTCGAGCAGCGTACGAATCCCGCGTTGAAAAAACTGGTCATCTTTGAAGTGATCCACGAATCAATCCAATTTCTTACTTTTTCATAAGACTGGAAGTGCTGGTCAACCAGACCGTGTGCCATTGACCGAAACAAGTGATAGTCAGAGGGAGCAACATCTGGAGAATACAGCGGGTGGGGTAGGACTTCCCATTTCAACGTTTCCAAGTATATCTTGACTACTTTCGCAACATGGGGTCGAGCATTGTCATGCTGCAAAATCACTTTATCGTGTCTCTCGTTGTATTGCGGCCGTTTGTCTTTCAATCGGCTCAAACGTATTAATTGCATTCGATAACGATCGTCTGTGATTGTTTCAGTCGGTTTTAACAGTTCATAATACACTACGCCGAACTGGTCCCACCAAATACAAAGCATGACCTTGGAACCGTGAATATTCGGTTTGGCCGTCGACGTGGAAGCATGGCCGGGATATGCCCATGATTTTCTGCGCTTGGGATTATCGTAATGAACCCATTTTTCGCCTCCAGTCACAATGCGATGCAGAAATCCCTTCCGTCTTTGCCTTTCAAGCAACTGTTCACAAATAAACAAACGCCGTTCAACATCTCTCGGTTTCAACATGTACGGCACCCAATTTCCTTGCTTCTGAATCATTCCCATGTCTTTGAGGCGTTTTGAAATTGCTTGTTGAGTCACTCCCAATGATCGTGCCAATTCTTCTTGACTTTGACACGAGTCTTCATTAAGTAATGCCTCCAATTCTGCATCTTCGAAAACCTTCTCTCCTCCACCGCTATGCCGGTCTTCAACGTGAAAATCACCGTTCTTGAAGCGTTGAAACTACTCACGACACGTTCTTTCACTAATAGCGGCCTCATCATAAGTATTTAAGAGCATTCGATGAGCCTCAGCCACAAATTTCTTCATATTGAAAATTAAAACCTCCCGCAAATTACGAGAATTTGGCTCGTAAACTGACATTTTCAATTGAGAATAATTTTATGATGCAGACACAAATCGACTAATGTTTCTATGGGGTTATGTTGACAGATGCCCAAGATTTATTGCATGACGTCTATGATCTATTTATTTCGACCACTACTTACCGCTAAAGCCATCTATAGGAAAACGGCGAAATCAAAGTTGTACACCTATTCTGTAGCTAATGAAATGATCTATACAGAATCTGAAGATAAACTTAAGACGATCTTAAATATAAGACCGGACTATGGATACGGCCCTAAGTAACAGTTACGTTACATTCACATTATATATATATATATATATATATATATTTAATATATATATATTTATTTTTTGTACTAATTGTTTCTTTTTTCTTCAAAAGCCTTAAAGGAATAGGAACAGTGAAAGTGTGTGCAATAAAAATGAAAGAGTGTGATATTTAACATTTATATATTATTAATGGCATTAATATGTATTGTATTTATAAGAAAGTTTTATATTTCATTTTTATTGTAAGGATGCTAGTAAGGTTTTCCTGCAGTTTCCCTTACTTTACAGCGAATGTTAATATTCATGTCTACAGTTGTCTACTGTTATTAAAAAATACAATAATATGTTTATTATTAATTATAAACATTATTCTATTTATTTACAAAATTTTTTTCTCCCTATAATTCTTCTTATATTTTTTCTTTATTTTCTCCCTATAATTCTTCCATTTTTTATTTCAAATAAGGGATCTTATGCTCATATTAGACTATTTTTAGATTGAAAATTACTATTGGACTAATTAAAATAACCATGATTTAGATTATCTAATTTACTCGATTGCAATTTTCAATGCATAGTATAACACGGGCGCTATAATACCTTAAAAAAGATACGACACTGAGACTTTTACTCAAGTAGCGAACTCTACGTCATTTCATGCATGCGCTGTAGCGTGGCAATATATTTCATCTGACATCACTGCTTGAAACTGGCATCACTGCCCTCTTTCTGACAGGACTTTAACCTCTGCCTTTTAAATTTGTAATGTTACTCCTCGAGAATTCATAACCTAAACCTAAATTGTAAATGTGCGAGTGACATATATATTCTAGATTATTGATTTATGGTGTCTAATTGCAAAATAATTTGCTCTGTCTCCGCATTACGTTGTGTATCTTCATAAGTATATTTAAATGTTTATATAAGAGAATTGATGTATTGAGAGATTAAAAGGAAAAAGTCTACTATAGAGATATAACAAGGAATCATATCCACAATCAAAGATATCGTCTTACAGTTTGTAATAATACGATACATTTAGCATATTTCAAATAATGAGTGAAACTTCTGAACTACCAAATACTTGGCTATTACCTTTTCAATAAAAGAATTCAACAATGTTTGAACTACCAGCAGAATTGACAGCTAAGCCTTTAGCTTTAATAGGTTTGACAGGATTAGACATTACAAATCCAGTCTATCGATCTATCTGGGATGCATTTAGTAACAACCGTAGACCAGATGGTGCAGCAGTTCAGTTTAAACTGCTCAGTCAATCACATGAGTTTCCTACTGTTAAACCAAAGGTATAATATGCTGACTACTAAAATATATTTCTAAAAAAAAATAAATTAAAGATAATTACTTCATATTACTATATATTGTTTTTTATATACTTTAGCGTAGTTCATATGAGTGGTATATACCTAAAGGGATATTAAAAAGAAATTGGATGAACAAATATCTCAATGATATTCCTTCTGTAGTTGTTGTATTCTATGATTTAGACTGGAATGACCCTTTGTGGAATGAAAAGAAAATGGAATGTGCTTCTAGAGTACAATCATTAAGGTAATGAAGAAGTTATCATAATATATTGATTGTATATTGCCATATTAATATAGTATTTAACTTAATATTATACTTTTTAGAGCTGTCCTTGATGGAAGAAGTACAAAAATAGCTGTAGTATTGATACAATGTGCTGTTCAACCACCACCTGGTACTGAAGATGTAATTGCAACTGAACGTGCAACAGCATTGTGTGGAGCTTGTGACTTAACAGCAAAGTTTTTGTATATTCTACCACATGCTGATCATTTATTTGGATATACATCTAGGTTCTTGATTTTTTATTTCTCATATATGTATATATGTGTGTGTGTGTGTGTTTTTAAGAAATAATTCAATGTTTTATTTTTACAACAGGCTAAAGACAGCGCTTTATGATTTGGCACAAAACTTTTATCATCATGAGTATCGAAATGTTAAAAGTCATCGTGATCAGCTCACTAAGAATGTTCATCAGTATTTGTTTGTTCGTCATCAATTTAAAATGGCATTCTTAAATGAGCTCAAGCAGGAACAACATCTTGCTCAGAAGTAAGATTAGATTAGAAATACAAAAGATTTATTTATATATATTCTAAGATATATATATACATGTGGATATATTGCAGACATTATATGCAAGCTTATCACAATCTATTGGAAACAAGAATGACAGATGCAAATGCAGTAGAAATCAAAACTGTTGCTAGTTTTATAAATTATAAGTTATGCAAGATAATGTTCAGCTTGAATCTTCCAAAAGATGCCATCTCTCAATTTAGACTTCATACAGAGAGGTATAAATATTTGCTATGATAATTATAAACTTTTGCAAGTTTTAAATTTTAACAATAATAAGTAATATTATCAGATTTAAGTTAAAAACTGGACCGAAAGAGCTTATGTTTGAACATCATGCTTGGATGAGTAGTCAGTTCTCCACATTTGCTGAATTATTTGATGAGGCAATTCGTCAAGGGTTACCCGCTGTTCAAACGCAACATCCAGGTTATTATTTCCAATTAGCTGCTAATCATGCAGGTTTACGACAGACTGCATGTAAAGAATTGTGTCAAGTATGAATAATTTTCTAATAAATATTATACTATTCTGAGGTGTTTGTAAAAATTACTTGAATTTAAATTTTCTTTTTCAGAATGTAAATAGTTATCCAGATCCAGATCCATTAGCAGGCGAAGAGAAACTTGAATTTTATGGACAACGTCCATGGCGACCTGGAAAATTGAGTGCGGAGCCTGCAGACACGGCCAAAGAAGCTATTGGTATACAGGCTTTACAATATAGAGAGAAAACTTCAGTTAATCATTCTGTAAGATAATTATATGTGTGTGTGTGCCTATGTGTATGCGTATGTGTGTATAATATATATAATGTGTTCATTTTTAAGTAAGCACAACTAAGAGAGTCTCCATGAGAAATATTCTTTTTCAGATGATAATTATCGGTTTATTAGGAAATGCGATATCGCAATTCAAAGTGTATCGTTGTCCACGGATGCGACGATTGTTAGGTACGATATTTTTTCGCAAACAGAAGTAACAATAATTTGCAAAATATATATATAAATGCAAAATAAATATATAATTATATGATTTTTTTTAAGTTGTGCAAATGGCAGAGGAGTACTTCAATGCTCGGGATTATGGCAAAGTTTTGACGTAAGTTAAAAATATTTTTTTTCTCTGCTACGATATAAAAGTTCTTAGCGAGTGATGCTTTATTATTAAATAACAAAGTCATTAATCTTGACATTATTTCATTTAGAACATTTTCTTTTGTTAATGTCAAAATCGTAAACTTTTATTGCTCAGATTATTAATGCATATGTTATGGGAATATCATGGAGAACGATGGCCAGTTTTGCTGACAGATATCTTGAAAAATGCACTGCGGGCTGCGTATCTATCAACTAGTATTCAAGATTATCTCACTCTAGCCCTTGAAGCTTTGGGACCCTCTACTACATTCTCAGAAGAGCGGCAAGCTATTATTTATGATAATATTATGAATATATTACAGGTAATACATTTTGAAAAAACATTTTGCTATTATTATATAAGTGACATATAATGCGAAATAAGAAAATTATTTGATAACAGAAAAAACCACCAAATCCAGAACCAGATTTGCCAGATGATATTAAGCATTTAGCAATAGAGAAATGGACATTAGAATTAAATCGTCCAGAGCCAAGTATCTTTACAATTGATGACAATAATATGACATCGTTTGTTGATCTTAAAGCACGATTTTTGCAATCGACATATGCAGTGAATACGATGATAACAATAGAAGTTATCATAAGGTATTATTGTGTTTGAAAATCTGTCTACTGTTTCAGAAAAATATATTTTTCAAGAATTGCAGAATATAACTTTATAATAATCTCTTTGATTATGCAGGAATTCCTACTGTGGCGTTATTGAATTCAGTAATGTGTTAATAACAGTCAGTGGTCCAGGTTATAATGCTGAGGTTTCAGTTAGCAATATTCAACAGTCTAACTTTGTTTTCCAAGCAAAGGAGACGAAGAAATTTTATTTCAATTTTAAAGCGCCTTATCAAAATGATGGTGTCGAAATTCGTATTAGCACAGTTTCATTGCAGATAGGTGATAATGCACATTGTTGTATCATACTAAGATTTTCAGCTGTGGGTAGAGAAACGAATTTATTTGACCGTTTGTATCCTGAAATACAACAACTTCGGTATGTTTGTATAGAGAAGAATCTTAGTATTTGTTATAGATATTTCGAAAAAAATTAATATAACTTTATCTGCATTAACAGAGGCGAATTTGAGGCGATAAGACCTTCGATTCATGCAGAAATCAAACAAGAAGAATCCAGTTTGAATGTACATACAGAATCCAATAATCCCGCGCTCTTAGGCGAGTGGCTACCTGTAACTATACGTCTATCAGCTAACGAGGATGTAACTGCTATTTCTTTACACGTAACACTCGCACCAGATGGTAGCAATGAACAATCAAGTATGTTTTCATTTTGTTTTTTTTTTATAAGATAATGTTTTCTTTTTTCCGTCTAATTTTATATATATATATATTTTTTTAAACTAAACTATTTTAAAATATTTATTTCAGCTGACCTAAGCTTAAACATGCTTAATAAACAGCCCAAAGTATCAATTTCTGTTAATAATATGAATAAAAATTCCTTTGTCAAACACGTTGTGTATATTAGAGCACATAAAGTGGGCGACAGAAATATCATAATAAAGGTATACACACTCATGACTTAATATGGCAACTAATTACATTATAATGGAATGTTATTAATTTTTAATTATGTAATAGGCAGAATATTCTAAACCTGAACAAATTAAGGGAAGTAAAGAATTGTCATATACATTAGCAGTTAAAAAATCATTTGAAGTAGCAACACAGTTTTATACTACACTGTTTGAGCCACTAACAAATGGATTTGTTAATGAACCATTTATTATTATGCCTCATATTACATGTGTCTCCCCATGGCCTATAAACATTTTAAGTACATCTATAGAATTGGTAAGCTCACAATGCATATTTATATAATTACTTCTGTATGATGCATTAAGAAAATTAGAGTTCATCATGATAAATTTACATTCAAAATTAGGCGGATTCTATTGAAAGAGAGAACAATTTGGATAACAGAAAATCTATTTTGACGAATGTTACACTGTGTGACGGTGAAGCAGGGACCGATGCCTATTGCTTAATTCCAAAAACAGGTGGCGAACCTATCAGTACCGGAGTATATACTATCAAATGGAAAAGGTAAAAATGGCTGTTGGATATAGTTTATGACACACTATATATCTCTGATTTGTCTTAATATTAATTTATCTTTATATTAATTTATCTTTATTTTATTTTTGTAGAGCGAATGATGAAACCGCGTTAGAAACTAGCAGTAGTGTAACTTTAGCTCCTCTATGTGTCAAAGATGCGGTGATCGGATTAGAAGCCAAAATGCCAGCCCATGGTTGGGTTCGCACGCCATTTTGTATATCTTATTTTATAAAAAATTATTCCGATTATCTCGTCACTTTACGTTTAGCTATGGAAGGCAGTGATGCTTTCATGTTTGCTGGGCAAAAACAGGTATCTATCAGAGATAGGCTTCACGTATTTATGCTACATAAAACGCATATAATAATTTACTGTATGTCTATTTTAGGTTGACGTTTATATACTACCTAGAAACGTACGGAAAATTGATTGGATCTTACGACCGTTAGTCGCTGGCTTTGTCGCTCTTCCAACATTATCACTAACTGTACCTGCAGGTAATGACGTTATATACAACTGCATGAAGTAACTTAAGAATTCTTGTTATTTCTATTTCTCTGAAACAAACGATGCTTATGACATACAGATGAGGAACATAAGATGGGTAAAGCACGTCTGTCGGAGGTCGTAGAACGTTCATTGCCGAGTCACATATATATATTAGTAAGTGAAAATAATAATGAAATATGTTCAGTTATGTGTTTTTTCACTGTTCATTTAATATTTGCTATGTTGTAACACATACTTCATTTTTGCAGCCGAAATCGCAGTCTTAGCAGAATAAATATGGTTGGTATTAAGACTCTTTTTATGAAAGGAATAACTTGTTATCAAATTATATTATAAAGTTAGTTATACATTTTGAGAACAGGCAATCTGATAAGTTTGTAATCTGTTGAATATAATTTATTTGAATTATTTTATATGTAGTTTCTCTAGCTTAAAAAAATATATATATATAGCTTAATATTATATAATTTTTAAGTTTTAACAAACGTTAAATGATAGCAACTGTATCGCCGCCATGTCTCATGCATGTATAAATATCGACCGCTTTTGCGAGCGTTACGTCACGCGTCACCTTAGAAACCATGCGACTAACGATATATCAGTAGACAGTAGACAGTAAAATAATTTTTCTCTTCTATGTTTTTTTATTATATAACGTGCTTTTAGTCAATATATATATAATCGCTCTAGTTTCTAATATATATTATATTAAATATTTTAAAGTTTCTAATTATATATATAAATATATATATATATATGTATATATATAAAATATCCACGCGTACACATGGTCAGTTGTAATGGTGCTACGAAATGGCGAGAAATGGCAGCATCGATATCGGAAGTGTTTTTGACGAGTACCTGCAAAAAGAACAGCAATTCGAACAAGAAATAGAAGAACGGTATTTACATTGATAATTTTTAATATTGGCTAATATATTGTAATTAACATGTCTATATACATACATATATACACACTTGCGTGTAATTATCTCATATTCTATTTTATTTTACAGCAATAAATTACATCATGAAACACACAATAGAAACGTCAAAATTCCTGAATTGTCTTCCACGAATCTTCTTATAAACGTGGAAAAATCTCACATTCGTAATCAAGCTCTTTTGAAGGTTTGTTGAAATAAATTTTTTTATATAAAATATTGCAAAAAAAGTCTTCGCAGTAACAATGAATTTATGTAAATTTACGTACAAATTTACGAATTTTATGCATGTATAAAGATATATCACTTTTGAATAATTTGTAGTTTATTGATTAATTTTACGAGTAGACGACTAATGTTATTCAGCTGAGATTTATTATTTATTATCTTTTTTATGTCTCTTAAAAATTTATCGTTTAATTTAAGAAATGTTTTTGACCATATGCTAGCACGAATAAAACATTAAACATTTTTCTAAATTTAAAGGCTAAAATAGTATTTTAGCACAGAATAACGCGAGATATTTATGAGATTATATATGTGTTATATATATCAGATATATACATATATATTTCATACTATTAATAGATACACACATATATATATAACAAAACTTATACATTATTTCATAACAGGATCTAGAGATATCTAGAGCGCGTTTGAGAACTTACGCGTCTTATACGCCGACCGATGAGGAATTACAGCAGATTTCGTCGGCCTATCGAAATCACTTTCGTAAGAAGCTCCGAAGTACGGATTTTCGATAATGTCGTTATTCACGTGACCAGGAGAAAACCACTGATGATCGTTAATCCAACTCGATAACTCGAGCCGAACGAACAAACTTCCAAATGAAAAGTTTGTTGATCGTTGGGATCGATGAATCGAATTGACTATTTGTGCGTTATTTATTGGTATGATTACACTTTCACACATTGAATAATATAAAAACCTATTTAATATTCGAAGAATTTAGATTTGAATGTAAAGCGCGGGCAATTTTTTTTTATTTGGATCTCTCACTTATGTTTCTCTATATTGCGTTCATATCATGTCGTACTTCTAGTTGACGGACTTGATTGCAAACAGCGAATGTATTATTTTTATAAAACAACGTTCGAAACGAAATATATAAAATTCATGTATGTACATAATAACTTGCTCACAATTTATATGAATGTGGATCATCGCTCATAATAATTGTCACTAATATACACTACATGCAACATGCCACGAAAAATATTACATTGCGATATCAATGAATGTTTTAGACGAAATCCTCGCGTTAAACATGCGACTCACCGTAAGTGAGGAACGTATACTTACAGTTGACTACTCGTCTTTCGACGAGACATGAACCAAAAGCTGAAATCTACCTAGCGAGCTAATTTACACTCTAATCTACCTGTGCAAAGGTCTTCGGGAGTTAATTATAATAGTAAATAGCGTTACCTTTTAAGGCCCGTACGGCGATCGCTTACCGTTTGACGATACGCTGCGAACAGATCGATGGATCTCTTTGTCGCCGACACCAGATTGTTGGTAAGCTTCATGAGGGAGATTTAACGCGGCGGGAAGAGACATATAAAGGAGACGCGCGAACGGACAAGTGCAAGCGACGTGTGTTCCGCCTGTCTGTATGCCATATTCATATTCATTTTCTACGTGTGACCGCACTATTATCGCCGATAATTACTGGCGCGCACAACTTGCACGTCCGATAGGACGGCCACGTTTCAGGAGCTACCTGATAAGAGTCCAGGCCAATAATTTGCTGGTAACTCGCGTTTATACCTTACGCCTCAATACATTTTTACACACGACCTGCAAAAGCCACGGATCTAGTCTTGACCTTCGCTTCTTCGTCCAGCCATGTTTATATGTCCGCGTGACTTTTTGGCCCGTTAAAAATGCACGCCATCAGTTTAAATTCAGACGGCGAATATTGCGAATTTTACTACCGGCCTCGTGTGTCACACAGTGCAAACAGCTTTCCGCGACAGCTTCGAGCAAGGTTGCGCAATTTATGCAAATGTCGCAGGCGCACGCCGTCCTTGCACATGATAGTTTCACTTACCTCTCTCGCATATTCGTAAAATATTGGACCGAATTCTAGACGAAAACCACGTAGCGACTTCTGCACGATTCCGTGTGTTGCGAAGATTTCAGGGGGACTGAGAGACGCGCGAAATGAGAAATGCGATGAGCTGTATCGGCTACTTCGTGGCGTATAATTTTGTTATTTCTTCTACGTGGCATAGCAGCAGCTGAGCAAACGGAACGGCGCTGTGACTTCTTACTTTGACCATTGTGTGACATTCGAAAACATTTGTATCAATAGTCTTTATTCTTTCGAGGGATAAACCGTATCTTTTCTCGCGGTTTTGGTCAAGGATCTCCAAGATTGTATTCTCTATGGGACAATATTTATGAAACTTACCACAGATTTATCTAGATCATTGCGCGTTACCTCTGTGATTTTGCACAATAGCACAAACACAAATATATACACTTAATTTTTATAGCATATGTTGAGACTTATCTATCTGGAGCATGTCACGGATCTCATTTTTTAATCCACTAAAGGACACGCTTTATGGAATTGATATAGAATTATCGTCTCTCCACGTTATCGTTCGCGCGGTTGCATAAGCATAAACCGGTATAAGTTTGTTGCATTTGACTACCAGACAGTCAGGTATTAATGCATTATCGCTATCGTCAGTGAAACGTAACGCTTACTAAACGATAGACTTGTATTATTGGAAGTAATGTTCGGCGTCCTCGCTATTTTGCGCAGACCAGGTAACGTTTTTATGTATATTAATATTTTGATTTAATAGTTTTGCTTATTAAAAATGTTAGTTATGCAATTAAATGTTAATTATACCTCTATTATTTTATAAATAGAAAAAGGAAAAAAATATTAACATATATGCGTATTAAAATGTTGCATATTCTTGTTATTTAAGTCAATTTTTTGTGACATACAGTTAAGATTAAATGAGTAAACAATCATTTAACACATCTACTAATCGTTTAATACATCTATTTTCTTGAAAGTACCTCTGATAGACGTGATAATTCTGTAGATCGACGTTCCTAGCTTATTATATCAAAATTATTACATATCTACGCATATACATATATGTGTGTCAGTGCGTGTGACGTATGTATACATACATATATAGACAGCTTTTATACAAGATCTCATTTATAAAATTAATTTTATTTTTGAAAATATGTCTAACAAATATTACATAAGAATGACATTACGTTTCTTATTTCTTTAAAGTAATTTGAGCACAAAATCAATATATTTTCATTTCTTTCTACTTTTATACCCACATAAATAGCACGCATATAGGTTTTTTATTTATTAAAGCGTTAATTATCCTCTTCAAAAAGAGTTTTGTTTTTACGTACAATAATAAAACAATGATTGCGTTCAGCAAAACGGAATGTTATTATTAATTAAAACGTGTCATTTAGAAAATAGTAATTTGAAAATTTAATTACTGTACTTTTAAGAATTTTGGCTAAGTTCAAGATTAGATATTAAATCGATTCACTGATTATTAATTGCTTGTTAAGTACTTTGTTCTATTAAACATTATTAATATAATGAATAAATTTATTTCCCTATTATGTTTAATGATAAGGTTGATACCGTAAAATATATTGAATATTTGTTAAGTTCGACAAATTATAACGAATAATGATGTAAGCACATATCAGAGATCAATTTGTAGCAATGTGCTTTTGAATATCATTGTTTATAATTGAGAAATAAGGACAAATTTAAGTAACTACTTTAATAAATAAATAACATTACTGATTCTATAATAGAAAATTTGTTATTATAGATACAATTTTTTCAGGTGCATCCAAATGTACGTGATGTGATCCTTCCACTTCATGGTATTCGAATTTCCTAGCTTGCACTTTTATTTTTTCCAGTACTGCATAGTAATATTCAGATCGTTCAAATTTTAATCCAGGAACAGCACGAATATTGAGATAAGCGCATTTTATTTGAGATGCATAAGTAAGTACTAATTCTAGAGATGGCATCCCCAAAAATGCAACCTAAAAATAATATCAATATCAATATTAATATATATATAATAGATCTAATATCCTTAAAATTATTATGCCTGTATCTTGTAATTATTATCATTAAATAATATAATGTAAGACAAATACTTCACCTTTAGTCTTGCATCACGAGAAAAAACATATTTTCCCCTTGAATATGCTGGTTCTATACCACGTTTCATTAATATTTCTGCTGATTCCTTTGTTATAGAACCGTCATAAGCCTTATACACTATATCAAGCATTTCATCATATTCATAACATGGCACATTATCCAGTGACAATAATTCATATTTTAAGAATTTGTCGATATATTCTCCAGTGAGGCTAGCTATTTTTGTGACATCTTGTACAGCTGGACTAACAATATCCAAACTTATGAGATGATTAACTTCATCAGGATATGATGCTGCATATAGAAAAGATATGGCACCACCCAGTGAATGCCCAAGGAGGCTTACCTAATTCCATAATACAGTATAATTACAAGTTTAAACTAAGTGTATGAGTTATGATGAAAAAAATGAATTAATATTGCAATATATATATGTGTAGATTAAAATATTCATATTAACATAACTTCCATATATAGTTAAAATATTGATTGTCATGCAGTATATTTGAATGAAACAAAAAGAATATTATGTAAGTGCAAGCAAGGATGACTGTTAAATTATATAACATAAAATAAGGGCTGAATTATTATATAAGATCGATATTAATTTGTCTATAATTTGTCTATAATCATATAAAAATAGAGTGGGTAAATTTACTTTTACCCACTAACCTTATTCCATTTAAAATATTTAACGATTCTACGAAGAAGTATGACACCGTCCCAATGGACGTAATAGAATTGACTTTTTGGATAATGCGAAGATAAACCATGACCAGGCATATCCAAACAAAGAACAGAAATATCTTTGGACAGCAATGGTATCAATCTGTCAAAAGTGCCTGCATTTTCCTGACGACCATGCAATGCCACTATCGGTTGGAGCTCTTTAGGACCCCACCATTTGCCTGCAGTCATACAATATAAATTTCTTAATTTGATTTCATTTTTTAATATATATTTAATCAAAGGTGCGCATATAAATTTTTTGCTTTTAAGAATCTGTAATGATTTGATAAATAAAGAAAGAAATATATGTATATATAATCTTTGAAAATGAAGCAGTTGTAGCATAGCTAATAAAGCTCTTTCTTGTCCACCATATGGGATTTGTGACATAATATTGTTTTGTGACAAGTTATACAACGATTTTGTGATTCTTTTAATATACTTTTCTCATATTATATATAATATGCTGTTATATAAATTAATACTTTGAAATGTTATATAGCATATGAATAACAGTCAACCTTTCTTGACATATTTCAATTATAGTTATTATGATGGTTAAGTAATGCAATATGAATATTAAATAGTGTAAATTAAAAAAAAAATTTCGATATTAAATATACTATAGCATGAAATATAAATATCCTAGGCCAAACATATGCAAACTAAATAATTAATAATAATAGATAATATAAACAAACTTTATATATTTAACAAATTTCACTATGTGTGCAATCATGTTGCATTTTTGTAAAACATAGTATACATAAAATTCATGCGTTTATGTATTTAATATGTCATTTTTTAATATATTATTTCTTTGATCATAATCAGAGAGATATCGTTGTATAACTATAATAATTTGCTAGCTAACCTTGTCCCATTTGTAATATTTAATAATTCTACGTAGTATAAAAACCCCATCCCAAAATACATAGTAGAATTGTCCATCTGGTAGATGAGAAGAGAAGCCATGACCAGGTAAATCTATGTTCAATATAGCTATATTTGATGGCAACAATGATGCCAAGTTGTCAAATGTTCCTGCATTGTCTTGCCAGCCATGTATTGCAATTATAGGCTGTTTATTTGTTGGCCCCCACCATTTTCCTAAATTTATCAATATGTTGAGTTTAAAGTATCGTCTGCTTATTCAAATTTTAACAAACTTTCTTTAAATTATTCATTATTGATTATGTTCAATAGGATCAAAATGCATAATTGATTAGCAGTTTGAGAAATTGATTTTGATACATATAGATGCATGTATATATGTCTTAAAATTAGAATATTTATTATTATTGTGTTTACGAAATGTTGATTAGCTAAATTTTTAGGAAGGTTCTATTTCTACCAGTACAAATAAAATATGTTTCAAATATATTTCCAATTAATATTTGATATGTGAAGTACAATAGGATAAACATGTTAGTTTTACTGACCACTTATATGACCCCACGGCATCGGTATCTTAATCTCTTCAGCATCTATAACAAACAAGTTTAATCACTATAAACTTCTAACTAATAACTATTTAAACTATCTTTTAAATATGTGAGATTGTTTTCCAAATGTCAAACAATTTACCTCTTTCCTTACATCCGTGCACGGCATTGTCGGAAGAGCTATTCCCATTGGTATTCATTTTGATATAGCAATTTTCAATAGTCTGACAATCTACACTTATAAAATACTTGATCCTAATATGCCATTCGCTCTAAGCTTTACTCGCAAGCACTGTTAGTCCGTCACGTCGGTGAGACTAGTCAAGACTGCGAGGAAAAATCTCTAGTTATTATTCTAACTTTCCCTTCACAGAATACGCCGTGTTCCAATATTCACTGCCAGCATTGAAAATCTATATAATATACGTGACACAAACTATATATTTTCAGTACTGGCAGTGAATTTTGGAACACAGCCGTAGTCTTCGATATGTGTCACTTTTAGTACAGAAAGTGCAAAATAGTGTAATTTTATTTGTAATACCTCGATTAACTAATATTTCTTTATTCTTCTTTTTCTTCCACGTTTCATTTTGTTCTTCGATACATGGAAATGTTGCACCGTTGTGTCCAATTATTCTTTATGAATCATAAACTTTTTATTACTGCTAGAGAAGATTGTCAGTAACAGCATAATATATTTCAGCAGAGAAATCGTACGATATTTTTCCTTGAGAAAATATTTTGTAAATATTACATTAAAATATAGAGATATGTTTCGTATTAGAAATATATATTTTTTCATATGTGACACGTGCGCGATTGATAAAGTAAATGTTATGTAATGCCACTCGAGTAGCGTTGACATTCACTCTGCTTTAATGCAATTCTATATTGCGATTGTATGCAAAGTGACTCATGATAAAGGATTTTTACTTATTCGTTATCATACAGTTTATCAGTAGCATGTTGTATTATGCGCAAATACACACATAAAATGTAAAAATATGAAATATAATATTATTATTTATTCTAGCAGACTGACGTCATTAGTACGTCATTTGACGTCAGTTTGCTACCAGGGTATATTATAATATTATTTATTCTGTGTGACTATAACAATCAGTCGGAAGAAGGAAAATTTTAAGTCCATGATGATGTTGCACAGTAAATATCTATATAATACAATAATTATATAGATTACACATATAATCCCAGCACACACAATATAACTGTTGTATAACTTTTATATAACACAGAAGTAACATGCAATATAATGGCTGTTACACATTATTAATATTGAAATTATATAATTTCCTATTATAATTGCAATACATCTGTGTTATGAAACTATCATATTCGATTATAAAAGTATAACAGCAGTATGATTTAAATATAATCACCAATCAATGATAAATCGATCATAACGTTGTTTTGACATTGATTCGATGTCGTTTCAACCAATCATTTCTTATTGAGATACCATGCAATAATACTTTTGTGTAAGCCCAGACAGCATCGGACATCCAATGGATGTACGTTTCACGTCCAATTTATGTCCGTATGTCCGTGGACATAAATTGGACGTAACAAGGATGTCCTTATTGGACATCGGACCTGTAGGACGTCCGATGTACGTCCATCGGATGTCCTATGTCCGAAGTTGTGACAAACGTACGTTCTATGGACGTTTTTATATAAAAAATGGACATATAACGGACGTCCAATGGACATCCGTGTGCTGGCTGGGTTATTGGTTATAACCAAAATTAGCAAAAAACATGTTTCAAACAAAAAGATATATTTTTTTGCTTAAAGTTGCTTACATTAAGCTGTTTTTAAAGTTTAAATATGTTTCAAACATTGCTTAAAACATGTTTCAAATGTGATTTCTAATATTCGTTTCCTTTATTTATAATACGTCGGTATGGTTAGAAAATCGCTAGAAAATCAGCTGCAAGACCAATATTTCCACTTTTGATTGGTGGAATATTGTTAGAACCTTCAATTTCAACAGTTTTAGATGGGAAAATATAATGTATTAAATAAACTATATATATTTATATATACAGGGTATTTGATAGCTGATCATGCAGACGAAGGTTGGAGATAGATTGGGTGTAGCCGAGAAGAAAAGTCATGTACCATAATGTCAAATTGGCAATAGTTATCGAGTTATTAATTAAAACATGTGAGCGCGTAGAGAGCGAGCTTTTTCTTTATAGGTTTTTCCTTATAGCTCGCTCGCTCCTCGTCGTTCGCGCTCGCTCGCTCTTCATCGCGCTCGCTCGCCTCTTGTCGCTTGCGCTCGCTCGCTCCTCGTCGTTCGCGCTCGCTCGCTCCTCGTCGCGCGCGTTCGCCTCTTGTTGTTTACGTTGCTCCTCGCCGCGCGCGCTTACCTACCGTCACTCACTGACTCCGCCTGTATCAAATGTCTACGTGCTTACTGCGGCCGCCCTCCGCTCTCTACGCGCTCGTTGGCTCACATGTTTTAATTAATAACTCGATAACTATTGCCAATTTGACATTATGGTACATGACTTTTCTTCTCGGCTATACCCAATCGATCTCCAACTTTTGTCTGCATGATCAGCTATCAAACACCCTGTATATACAGGATGGGTGGTTATAAGTTTACAACCCGAAGTGCGAAGGTAAATTGGATTAAGACATAAAAGTCCCATACCGTTTTGCGAAATTTGCAATAATTATCGAGTTATTAATGACATAAATCTAAGGAGTGGGAGCGCGCATAGATGATTGGAGAAGCATTGCAGCTACTCAGACCACAATGCGGTCCAGTCGATCCAGCAACTGTTGCCGGTGCGCGGCGAGGGGAAAGACAACGCGCTGCTATTCGTTGTTTTATCTTGCCAGACCTATGTCTCGTCCGCGTTCCCGCCTGCTCGGCGAGACCTCGGTCTCGCCTCACGGATCCGGGGTCCGAACGACCGAGGCCGTTCGGACCCCGGATCCGCGAGGGTCGGCCAGCATGGCCTCCCACCGCTCCATTGACCCGGGCTCTGGCTTGAGATTTCAGGGCCGCCAGGTCCTTGGCCGACACCGCTTTCGTCTTCCCGCGGAGCTCATGCACTCTCCAATATAGGATGCACCGCTTTTCAGCGATGAGCTCCACGGGGGGGGAAGCCAGCCAGGGTCGTCGCCGCCGTATATGACACGGTGCGGAAGGCCCGGATCGCCCTCACGACCACCGACCGCAACGCCTGACGCATCAGGTGCTTATGTAGCGGTCGGTGGCCATAAGCTGGGGCACCCAGATGGGCGCCCCATAGATGGTGACCGAAAGAATCACACCGATATACAGGCGACGAGCGTGCCACCCGGGGCCCCCTGGATCTGCATCAGCCTGGCCGACGCCAGGCCGGCTTTTCGGACCCGAGGGGCCAGCTACTTGAAGTGCGGCCCGAAATCTCATCGGCCGTCCAGCATCAGGCCCAGATATTTAATGTTGGGCCCGGTGCGGACGCAGACTCCATCCATCGAGACCTGGGACTCCGGCGGCGCGCCGCGGCTACCGTCGTGAAAGAAGACGGCCTCCGTTTTATGGGGCGCCACCTTCATTCCAGGCTCCTGATGAAGCCCACCACGGATGCCAGAGCCGCCTCCGCTCGGAGACAGGTATCCCCCCATCTGCATAACAGATGACATGGCAGTCGGAAGGAAGGGCGGAGCGAAGCACCCGGTCGAATGCAATGTCCCATAGCAGGGGGCCGAGTACCGATCCCTGCGGGACACCGCATTGCATCGCCCATCGGCTTTGGACCCCGCCTCTTATGGAGTAGGCGAGGTCCCTGTCCCCGAAGTAGGCCGCTAGGATTCGCCGGAGGTAGACAGACACTCCGTGATATTCGAGGGCCCGTCCGACGTTCGGCCAGAGCAGGGTGTTGAAGGCGTTCGTGATGTCCAGAGACACCGCCAACAACACTCCGCCCTCCTCCTCTACGACCACACGGGTCAGGTCCCGGACTCGCTGGACCGCGTCCAGCCTCGAACGTCTGGGTCTGAACCTGTATTGTTGGTCGTGGAGGTCCGGCCCCCTCTGGGATAGATGCTGGACGAGGCAGTCCGCGATAATTCGCTCCAACGTTTTGCCCGCCTCGTCAGATCGGCCAGCAGGCAGATCGGTCTGTAGGCCTGTAGGCCTGAAGGACGACGGATTGCCGGGCGCTTTGCCCTCCTTCGGGAGGAGAACCAATTTGGCTCTCTTCCACTCTGGGGGGAATATCCCCTCCTTTAGACACCTAGTGAACGTCCTCCGCAAGGCCGCGGACAAGTTCTCCTCGCCGAGGGCGAGAGCCTAGGCTCGGCCAGGAATACCATCGGGGCCAGGGGCTTTGCCCTTGGCCCCGAGCCTCTTCCTGACCTTGGCGAACTCCTCTGGGGTCACCTCCAGGTCCTCCTCCCAATCCTCGTCCTGCAACTCAGGGAATCCGGGGAGGTGCCTCACTCTTGGAAAGAGCGTGTCCAGCAGTCCCCGAGGACTTGGGGTTCGAGGGCCTCCGTCGGCGGGGGTGCCCACGATCGGATTTTCCCGACCGTTCTTTTATAGGGGCGCCCTCACGGATCCTCATCCAGGGAGTCCACCAGTTCCTATCAAGCTCTTTTCTTCGTCTCGGCGATGACGGCCTTGAGGGCTTCCCTCGCTCTGAGGTAGCCTTCCTTTGCCCCTGCGGCCTCCCCGTCACGTCGCCGGGCACGGGTGTAAACCCTACTGGTGTAGACGGAGGCTCGTCGCAACGTGGCGATCTCCTTCGTTCACCAGTAGGCTGCCTGGCGCGGACGGGGGTAGGACCGGGGCATCGCGACGTCGCACGCCGACGTCACGATGCCCACCAACTCCACCTCCCCTTGTCGGGGGTCGGGGTTCCACTCTTTACGTAACCCCTTAAGGTGCCAAGTAGTCACAAGGACGGCCGTCTGGAACTTATCCGCGTCCAGTTGACCGAGGGCCCATCTCTTGGGTAAGGGAAACTCCTTCCGCCGCTGGGCGGCTGTTCAGCACCTGCTGAAGGGTGGGAAGACGGAGAGACCACATTATATTCATTTACTCGCATTTATTCGCTCATTTATTTAATAATTTTTCTCAAAACTTTACGTAGTCGATTCCAATTTTTTTCCGTCTGTTGTACTTATCTCGATGTTTTTTATGTTTTTTATAAAGTTTGTAAGTTTATAATTACCCACTCTGTATATGTGCGTATGTATGGCCCGAAAATAATTCATGAATATGAAAATAATAGAAGAAAATTCATGAAAATCTGGAAATTTTCACAATTATTCATGCCTTTTAGTCACCATCTTGGATCCGCCATTTTGAAATTCTCTAATATAAATTA